TATTATTATTATTATTACAATTATTATTAGAGTTATTATTATTATCATCATTGTTATTTTATTATTGTATTTTTTATTATAAATTTTATTTATTATCAATTATTATTATTATTATTATTATTATTATTACAGTGCCCATCTGGAAAGCATGCGTAGTTCATGCTTGCCTTTATGACTCATGCATTAAGGGCGTAAAAGCGAGAAGGGTCATAGGTTTTGTCAACAAGTTACATAAAGTGACAATGGTGACTGTGTGTGGGGAAAGTTCCCGGTACATTTCATCTGTTTATGGCAAAGCGTGGCAGGTCCCTAATAATGTTAAGTGCCAGGCCTGTCACTAGAAGGAGGGATATCTGGTCAGGGAGGGAAGAGATGTTGGTAACGGCTGGGGACCTGTAGGAGGAGGTCATAGGGCAAGTGAGGATGTACAGTGGTCCCTCGGTTAACGAGCACAATCCATTCCAGCAGGTTGCTCGTTAACTGAAAATCTCGTTAAACGAAACCATTGTTTCAATGGGTTTTTGGGTAATTGGTTCCAGCTCACCGAAAATTGTCTAAATTCAACAAAAAAGGTAGAAAATTATACTTACTTTGAGGTGTGTATGAAGAAGGCTCCTGGATGATGATGCTGATGTGAATTTGAAGTGGGAGGTGGAGGAGGAGAAGGGAGAAGAGAATGAAGTGGAGGTGGAGGAGAAGCATTTTATTGCTTCTTGGAAGGTGAGTCACCTTCCATGAAAATGTCTGGAACCTCTGGACTGACAGATTCTCCACCATGAACATCCTCTCTCCTTATTGAAGTGGAAGGCTGAGGGCTAGCATCATCCTCTCTCCTTCTTGAAGTGGAAGGCTGAGGGATAGCATCTTGTTCCCTCTGCCTTTTACTGAAGAAAGTGTCAATTGTGGTCTGTGGGGCATCTCTCCTCCTCACCATTAAATTATGTTTATAGAAGGAGACCATTGTGTCCCCAACATAACACAAAGTTAGTTCAGAATTTTCCACATCTGGGTGCTTTGAAGCCAGTTCCCTAAACTTCTCCCAGTGGTAAATCACATCTTTCAACTCTTTAGTTGACATATGGTCATCACTTTCCATTTCCTCCTCACCATTGTCAGCCTCTAACATCTCATCCAGTTGCTTCAAGTCATCAGGAGTAAGTTCCTCCTCATGAGACATCACTAGCTCTTCGACATCATCCTCTTCCACTTCAAGGCCCAATGACTGACCAATGGACACAATCTCCTGGTCCAACTGTTTCTTCCTCAAATCCCTCAAAATCATGGACTACTGATGGCCACAGTGCTTTCCATGAAGAATTGAGGGATCTAGTGGAGACTTCTTGCCATGATGATGACAATCAATTTTACAGCCTCCAGGATGTTGAATTGTGTCTTCCAGAACTGTTTCAGTGTTAGTTCAGGATCATTGGAAGTTGCCTGATGACACCTCCTAAACCTTTTCTTCATGTACAACTTCTTGAAGTTGCTGATCACATTCTGGTCCATTGGCTGTATGATTGATGTAGTGTTGGGAGGCAAAAACAACACTTTCACAAAGTCAAATTGATACTCCAAAGTTCTGGCAAGTTCAGGGTCATGACCAGGAGCATTATCCATGAGGAGAAGAGCCTTTAAAGGGAGTTTATTGGTGGTTAGGTAGCTCTTGACAGAAGGGCAAAACACCTCAACAGCCCATTCATTAAAGAGCTGTCTTGTCACCCATACCTTATGGTTGGACTTCCAATAAACTCCAAGCTTTGCTCTTCCCTCTTTCTGTTGCTTGAACACCCTAGGGTTTTCAGAGTGGTAGACAAGCATAGGCTTCAGTCGGAAATCCCCTGAAGCATTGGCACCAAGCAATAGAGTGAGGCAGTCTTTCATGGGTTTATGCCCAGGTAAAGAGGCTTCATCTCTGGTGATGAATGTTCTTTTGGGCATTTTTTTCCAGAACAGCCCAGTTTTGTCCACATTGAACACTTGCTGTGGAAGATAATTTTCTTCTTCCATCAGTTCTTTAAATTCCACTAAAAACTTTGCTGCCCCTTCCTTATCAGCACTAGCATTTTCACCATGCCTAACAACACTGAAAATGTCTCTTCTTTTTTTAAATTTTTCGAACCAGCCTTTGCTGGCCCGAAAATCTTCAAATTCTGTGCCTGAAGAACCAGGTTGATCTGTCTTTAAATGTTCGTAAATCTCACTGGCTCTTTCACAGATGAATTCAGTAGAAACTGAATCACCTTTCATCTGTTTTTCCCTAATCTAGATGAGAAGTACCCTCTCAGTTTCTGCAATTAGGGCTCTACCTTTAAACACTGGTAGATTTGTCTCTCACTTTCACTTCTTTAAATTTGTCTTTCTGTGCAAGAATTGTCGACACAGTTGATGTCGACATGCCACATTCTTTGCATAGCGCATTTGTTCTAATGCCTTCTTCATGTTTCTTAATAATTTCCTGCTTGGTTTGGATTGAAATCGCTTTTCATGACCTCTTAGGCCCCATGCTGGATTCAAACAATGTCAACACCCTGATGTTTTAAGTTAAAACTAGCTGTAAATAAAGAATATTTTCTTTAAAATAACACTGCACTGCACTATATATTGTCAATATGTAAAATAAATTTCAAAATGACCAATAATTTGCTTGGAAACACAGAAAAAAGCATTTAGTTGAAGAGAGTCTGAAGCAAGATGTTACCTCCACTGAAAACAGAGAGAGACTAATGCTTGTTTGGTGTGTTAACAGGCTGGATGGCTCACCACAAACTAGTGACCCTACTTTCAATTATGTTCAGTAATTGTTAAAATGACTAAAAAAGTTAACATTAAACTTTTAAAATTATTGAATAGTATAAACTTCTTGATATTTAATAAAATAGTAAGGAATTTAAGCCCTAGAACCGATTACTGTATTGGCGGACTAATACTACAGCTGGTTGACCGCCAAGTGCAAGCGAAAACATGTTGAGGTCGGCTCGTAAGAAACTCGTTAATCGAGGGATTGCTCGTTAACCGAGGGACCACTGTAGTGAGGGAGGGTGTGAGAGTCGGGTTGGCCACAAAGTTTACAAACAGTGCGGCCAGGCTCAGGTTTGCCAATGTACTCCTAGGCGCAGTCTCATGTACATAATCTGTTGAGATCAAGTCAGGGATTGATACTCTTTGTAGCGGTGGTTGTCGTCACCAGTTACAGCGTCATAGTGACGTAGTGTGACTCTACCCCGTTGTTTCAGGTGTGTCCAATTTTCATCGAATGCTTCTCGTTGTGCGGCGTGTATGCGAGATTTGAGATGATTTAGGTAGAGGGCGAGGGTGGCTTCAATATCTTCTTCTTGTGTCGCTTCTTTGGCAAGCCGATCAACAGTGTCTCAGGCAGTTATTCCTATGTGTGACGGGATCCAAATAAACTTGACACGGATGTCATCAGTTTGTTCTAGCCAGGCGACGGCAGATAGGGTGTGTTGGGCAGCAGGGGAGGAGGGGGAGGGTAATTTTATTAAATTTTCATCCCCATGCCCCGATGTGGGTCAGTGACCTGTTCCCGGGTGGGCTAATCCCCATAAAAAAAAAAAAAACTACAATGCTGCTATTACCAAGTAAGTTACAATGTCCCTTTCAACATGGGTAACCAACAATGTCACCATTATCATGGGTAACTTACAATGACACCATCATCATGGGTGACTTACTGTACAATGTCACCATCATTTATGGGTACTGTTTTTTGTTTTTTTTACACAGGGATTAGCCCACCCTGGCACAAGTCACTGACCCACATCGGGGCCTGCGGGGCAAAAATGGAATATCCTGTAATAATAATAATTCATAGTAAATAAAATTTATCATAAAAAGTAAAATAAAATAATAATGGTAACAATAATAATAATAACAACAACACTGTGCAGTAATTATAATAATAAAGAAATGTAAAGAAATACAAAAATGAAAAAAAAATCAATAGTGAGGAACGCTATATGTACCGGTATTTTGTGTTGTCAAGTAAGAGAAACAATCAAGACCCTGCAATTGTGTGTAAATGGGGCAGAAAGACAGATCAGCAACCTGGGACTTGGTCACAATATTCATGATGCCATATGGCAGCAGGGTCTATCATTAGACAATACATTATGCTTCCAATATCTTCCCAGGTGGTAGTATCTCCCTGTTTGATAGCTGCCTACTACCTACTTACAATGTCAGCATGAGCAACTCACAATGTCACCATCATAATGGGTAAATTACAATGTCATAATTAGCATGGGAAACTCACATTATCCCCAACTGCATAGATAACTAACAATAGCATCATCACAATCAACATTGGTAACTTACAATGTTATCATCATCATGGGTAACTAACATGGGTAATGAACATGGGTAACTGACTTATGGTGTCACCACCAGTATGGGTAACTTACAATGTCATCATCATCATGGGTAGCTTATAATGCCACCATCTTCATGGTTAATATATGTCACCATGATTATGGGTAATTTATAATGTTACCATCATCATGGGTAACTTATAATATCATCATCAGTATCTTATGTAAACATCATCATGGGTAACTTTGTCAATGTCATCATGAGTACTGGTAACTTATATCACCATCAGCATGAGAAACTTGCAGTGCCACCATCACCATCTTTCAGAGTGAGGATAATTTTACAGGTTATATCCATTTCTTTCCTTTGTCTACAGAACAGATCTTCACCTGCTGTGTCCTTTTTTATGCCAAGATTTGGTGAAGCTAAAGTTAATGGTACCTTTGCCCATCTCTCTGTCAGTTTGTAGGTTTAATCTCTTGAAATGTGTCTCAAACAAGAATTAGTTAATCTATCAGAAGTGAAATTCGTAATTAAGTGTTTTAATGCCTATTGGATATGTTTTGTGAACAAAGAACAGGTCTAAACGTTAGACTACTTCCAATTAAGAGTATATTGTAGTTTAACACATATTATAAAATTATTTTTGTTATAGAAACTTGTTTTGTTCACAGTCGGAGAATGCTCCAAGTGTAAGTTCCCTTGGAAACAGCAGTACCCTTGAAATTACTCTCAAAGATGGACAGCCACTTAGCCTTGTCATTCCTGAGGGAGAAGATCCAACTATGTATGTTCAGAGAGCACTGGAGTCAGCAGTGATGTCTCAACACCAGCCAGCCACACAACAGCAGCAGCAACACCAACACCAACAGCAACAAGCAGTTCATTCACAGCCAGAATGATTTTTTTTAATTTTTAAAAGGAAAAATATATTTCAAATTTTTATTAATAGCAAATATAATTTTCTATACAAAATATTCATTTATGTATATTTTGCTTCAGATGCCAAGCTTATAAATGGCAGATTGTCTTTCACTTTACAACAAATGCATTTTGTGCTGAACTTTATGAGTAATTCTCTTAAGAGATATATTTGACCAATGAAATGTAATGTTTGTATCTTAGTGACATGTATTAGTAATGTAATTTACTAAAGAATAAATGTTTAAGATATTTATGAATTATAGTAAAATGAGAAATTGCAATTATATTTCCTAATGAAGTTACTAAATATTTTCATACAGCCAAGAGGATCAAGCAGATACAGTGGTCTTCTGAAATGATTATGATTCTTTATACTATTAATGTTTCAAACCTTCTTTGGACTTTAATTTAGAACATAATTTCTATCAGATTCAGTTTATGCTGCTGGTCTTTTATGTTTGTGACCCCTTGTCAGGAGTGCAAGAGAGGAAATTCTACCTCTTTTGTAGACCACAAAGGAAAGAGATATTTTGACTCAAAAATAGGGGACGTTGGACCTTTGGTGGTTACCAAACTAGAGCAGGTTGAGAAAAGGATCCTTACTAAGGATGAAGGAGTTAAATAAATACTGTAAAGGAATAAGTCAAGAGACATTACACTCAGGTTGCAGCAGGAATGCAAATGGTGAGTGAGAGGAACATTGAAAATGAGGTTTCACTACATTATCCCAGTCATATATGCTGTTTTCTCCATGTATATAGGAAACTACCCCCTAATCATCCATTTCCTGGGATTCTTAACTTGGATAAGCAGGCCTTGAAGCTGCTGTCAGCAGTTGTCCCTCCAGGGAGTTACATTTTGGTGGAGGAAGTAACTTGATCTTTGTGGGTAGGTGACTCAATTTGGTCATGGAAGGTTAAGTTGTACACTCGGTAAAAAAACTACCATACAGGTGGGATCCGATAATTTTCTAACTGAACATTCCCGTTGTCTCGCGAGGGTTGGTAGGCCTGAATGCGAGACATTTCGAACTTAATTTGGTAGGCCGAAATTAGCTATTTCATTGACAATATTGAATTACTTTGTTACAATATGACTGGAGAATGTCAGTATATCTAGATAAGTTAAACTGTATCTTATATTAAAGGTTCCACACACCGTGGACTACAGTAACCATGGAAGTGGAGGAGTTGCCATATAGGAATGCATTATATGTTTGGCGGAATTAGTGGATATAGTCAAGGTATAAGATTATTTTGCAACCAAATTTTGAATCTGTATTTGTACTGCTACTTCACTTTGGGATAGTGCCACATTATGTCATTCTTTATTCGTATTGGAAAATATACCATGCTGTTCCGAAACATGTGAATAGTTCCACAGTTTTGCATGCTGTCACAATGGAACCCAGCTCAACGACGTTTTACCATACGGTCGATAATTACAGAAAGTCTAGCACTGGGTTTCGTTTCAGAGTGCCAATCACTTGTTTTGAGTACCTGTGGCCGAAACCATACACACGCAGGGCTACCAATGTGAGGAATGCCTCAGGGGCCTTTTTGAAACACAGGTAGTTCTGCTATAACGCGATAATTGTGTTCTTGTAAAATATCGTGTTATAGAAAATCGCGTAATAGAAATAACAGGGCTTATGGAGAAAATAGGGTTAGGTGCAGATTACTCGAAATCGAAAAAATTTAGTATTTAGCCTAACACAAAGGATAGCACAGTCTAAATAAATGTTACATTCATATCTAATAATGAAATCATACAGTAAATTTAACACTTTACCTTGAAAAAATATGAATGTAACTTGATGGGGGAGAAGGGTGATTTTGAGGTTGATAACATTGAGCTTCTCTTCAAGTGTTATATCCTTTCTTTTACGATAATCACCGGGAATTCTATCATCAGAGCGCCTTTTGGAGATATTCTTCTTTACCATATTCACAGTTAATACCACAAAATTGGAGAAATAGTAAGCAAAAATCGCGTTATAGCAAACAAGCGTTCGCGTTATACAAATATTGTTCCGAATTCATAAATCGCGTTAGAGCAAATTCGCGTTATCAAAACACGCGTTATAGCAGAACTCCCTGCACTTCGTTTGTAGTGTCAGTTTGTTTCATGCAGGAATTGTAACAGTAGTTTTTTACTGAGGCTACAGGCTACTGGGGACCCAAGATTGGATCGTATGGCCTTTCAGTCTATTTTTTTTAAATACCGTAAAGCCTCCGATAACAACGGTTTGACCAACAACTTTTCATAATTAAGACCCTAGTTAATTTAGGACCCAATTCAATTTACGTCTTTATTTCATTCATATTTACGACCATAATATAATAAAAATAAAGTACAGTAAAGCATCGAATAACGACGTTAATGTGTCCTCCAATATTGCAGTGTAAAGTGAATCGTCTTATCGCGAATTTATTAATTACCATTAAAATAAAGCAATAATAAGGAGATGCATTCCCAAGTGTGACCTTTTCATATCTTTTGTGTGGGTTTTTACTCTCTTTTCCCCAAAAAACAATAGGACGATAGTTCTACACGAGAAAATTAAGAAAATAAGGCCTTGGTTGTAGTTGTAGTAAATTTAATATAAAAAAATTAATATATATGTTTTAAGTAACCTTATTTAATGTTAATAAATGGAACAAAAGATTCATTATTGTTTATTACTGAATATGTATTTGATTGAATTAATCTTTATATATGCGAAATGAACAATACACTTCATTAATACGTAGAATATTAAAACACACAAGAGGATAAGAGACGACATTGTTGTCAGTGTTTACACCCAATGTATACGTGTGCACTCAAGGAACCATCGTCATTTATCTTAAGAATATGTACAAAATATTCATTCTTGTTTATTACTGAATATGTATTTGATTGAATTAATGTTTATGTAATCGCTCATAGGAGCGATTTTGGTTTGAGCAGGACAATAAGACCCTTGTTGTTGACGCGATGAGTATAATTCAGTCAAAATCTGTTGAATACAGTTCACATATAACAACTGCTGGTACATCAGGACACAGTTTGAATAATACCATCAATATACAGTATATACAGTACAGTATAGTCTCGATTTACGCAGATTTGGTTTACGCGTTTGGTCATTTAAGCTGCACCTTGCCAGACCGAAAAATTTTATTTACGCGGTTCATTCCATCATTTATGTGGGAAGCGGCGCGGGCAGGGTGCGCACAAGGTCGCCCAGTCAACAAAACATTACCGAGTTTTCACCCGCCACCCACCACAGCCAGCCCAAGTCAGTGATAGTGAGGATATGGACTTTGAGGGGTTTGACAAAGAAGCCCTGCAAGCCTCTGTGGTGGATAGTGATACAAGTGATATACAGTAGGTGAGGGCCAATAATCTGCCCTCTGCCTCAGAACCAACCCCAACCCCCGTGTGCCCAGCCATCTCTTCTACTAACGTAAGTGTTAAAAATCCTAATATTATTGATATTTCTCTTAAATATTTACTGTGTGTGCATACCATCATAAAATGAAGATGTTATTTTTACTACAACGTATGTAATGTATTGTGTCTGGGTGAAGTATAATTTGTTTTATGACTGAAGATATTTGTTTTTAGCTCATAAAAGTCATAGAAATTACCCGGCCAGAATATAATTTATATTGCTGGAATTCTTATAAGATAGTGATTAATTTGAATATAAACAAGCTAAAATTTGCATCAGACATACAAATTTTAGAGCTAGTTTAAGAATTTTATTAGAGAGAGCAAAAATTTTATCTTTTGTGCAAAATATATGACGTTTATATTCAAATTATTCGCAGTCTTGCAAGGAATCCAGCAATGTCAATTATATTATCCTAAGCATAGTCTGAGGTATTATTTATTACTAAACCTAAACACCTAGTGTTTTCACCCAAACATTTCTCAAGAGCGTGGGAAGAGGGGGGGGGGTGTGTTGAGTCCATTATTTGAATGGACATTAACCGGCGACTGTATTTCTCTTAAATATTAATTGTGTGTGAATACCATCATAAAATTAAGATGTTATTTTTACTACAGCGTACTATTGTGTCGAAAAAAGTGGAGTTTGGGGGTCGGCCCAGTCTCTATTTCAATTAATCCCATATGTTCTGTTATTTCGTTTACGCGTTTTTCTTTTTACACGGACCTTCACGGGTTCAATTGACCTCGTAAATGAAGACTATACTGTAATTACACTTATTAAAGTTATTTAGAGTTCTCAGAGGATTCAACAGTTCACAATCACACTCACGTTTTGGGGTCTAGGGTTAGACCAACGAGAACAAATATAATGTCCTACAGGAAAATGCTGGCTGACGAGAATCAAGATGCTGCCTCCACAGTAGAAGGCGATATACTGTCCCTCAGGCAGTCACACAGCTGCTACCAGCTCCATCTCGCTTAGTAAGCTATTCTGAGTTGTAAACAGTTTCTTCACTTAACATGTGGCCGGCTCGCACAATTGGCGTGGCGATAACACTCCCCCTGTCAGGCTTCGCACGAAATTACAGCTTACCATTAGATTCACTCTCCGACCCCTTCCAACAGGCAGAGTCTCGTCGCTTGGCGTATTAACACTGAGTCCTTTGTCTTCACTTTAACACTTTGCACCAGGCCATCTGTGCTTGGTAGTGCCTCCAGTACTCTCTCTTGCATCCACTGACTCCTGGGGAAGGGTTGTCCAGAGATGATCACGATATCCCCAGCGTGGAGATTACGGCGACTTTTGAAGAATCTTTGTCACTGACGTAGTGTTGGGAGATATTTCTTTCCCCACGTCTTCCAAAATTGATCCGCGATGAATTGGGCATGCTTCCATCTTCTGGCAGGTCGGTTTGGCGTTGGTGGGTAGACCTCAGTTGCTTCTCCGACAAGTCACACATGTCCGTATTGTGCGGTCGAGTAATTTGTGGCACTTAGGTATCCAGTATGTGCCACTTATTATGGCAATAGTGTGTTCTCGTCCTGAGTGTCCAGCTCTAGTCGAGTGTACCTCTCTCACAATGAGCCCCATGATCCTGTTGTCCCTCGCCAACAGTATGGGATTCTTCTGATCTGGGTGGAGAGTGGCTACGTTTCAGTCGGCTGCCTACTCTGATCAAACCGTGCGTGTCTAGATGAGGTTCCAGTCGACTCATGTCGCTACCTCCCACGGGTTGTCCCTGTTGTAACATTCTGAGTTCTCGAGGGAATCCTTTCCTTTACATAAATCTTAAGACGACTAATTTCTCATCTTTCAATTTCCTGACTTTG